GTAATGTACTCAGGTAAATATGATGCTTGTGATGTTACTCTGAGTGTATATCCACACCGGGCAAGCTTGAAAAATATGCCTGTCCACAGCGAGGTTCGATTCCCACCGTGGACAGGCATATTTTTCAAGCTTGCCCGGTGTGGATATGCACTCAGAGTAACATCATAATTCAACATGATTGATGAGCTGTTGGAAAATTCTATTTGTAGATTTGTGCTAACCTAGGGTTAGGCTAATCGTTCCCAGAATTATTACATTTACTGTACAAACACAATGAACTTACTTTTTAAACTTATAATTAAGGTTACCAAAAAAAAAGTCGACGTTGCCAGTTATAGGTAAAATTTCCAAGTTGTTAATTTTCTTTATAATGACTGGCACAGCAAGTTTTCGAACTAAAAATAATAAAAGATTGTCAAATGCTGCCATGCACCAAAACGAAAGGGGATTATAAAACTCTAACGACAAGGCTGACGGTTTTTGGTGAGGAAGAAAAGGGCAAACATCTCGTATAATGATGGCACTTAGTTCAATGTGGGCAAAGTCAGAAGGCATCCAAGTGTTTACTTATGATTTAGAGGTACTATTATTACCATAGCCGTATGAGACAGGAGGCAACTCCCCCTCAAAAAAAATGAACTAAAAAACCAAGAAAATTTGGGCAATGCTGTGAAAATTCAACAAAATTTGGGCAAATATATAATTCAGGTTATTTCATTACAATCCTTCTTACAAATTTAGGCAAACTTTTAATCCCCTCGCACAGCCCCCACCCCCTCTCCAATCAGACTTAAGAAGATTGCAAAGTCAATCAAGCGAATATGAGTAGAGCTAAACGGTCAATGATAGCCGCCTTTGCTATTGCTGAAAGATATGGACACTCATTCCACGCAGGTCAGTCTATCTCAATCGCGGTATGGGTCACATCGATAATGAATATAGCAGAACATACAGATTATACAGGGCAACATATGTGCTCGTGTTGATCCAGGAGGGAAGACAAGAAGTTTCACGGTTTTGGCCTGTGGTTTAACCGACACTTTCTATCCATTTTGTATTTGCATTTGAAAAGATCCTCAGTTAGAAAATGCTAGTTTCCATGAGGTCTATAGACTCTTCAAGGATAATGTACAACTACTTACAAACATTTTATACAGTATATAATATAATAAGTATATAACATGATAATACAATTAATTAAATCAGTGGCGTGCTGGCCTGTGTTCGTCAGGGGAGGCCCGACACCAACTGGGAATTTGGCGTCCCCTTAATTTCTTCCTTGTAATTTGTATATGGGCGAGCGTCATAGACACAAGATGCGCCTGGGGCATGCCCTTGGAAAATTTTGAAATCAATAGTCCCTGAAAAGCCATTTCTTGCATTTCGACAAAATGATTTAGATCAATAAACTGCAAATGCATTGGGGAGTAAAGGTATTGGATATTTGGATATATACCAATTGGATATTTGGATACATAGTTTTCTAGTTCTATAAAGGACAAAGTTTGATTTTGTAAAAAAAATGTTAATTTACAAAAGTGACAAGTGCTTTTGATAGTTATACACTGACGTCTTTGCAAACACGTCAATAATACACTCTTTGTCCAGAGATTGTATAATTCCCCGCTCAGCAGCCATCAAAAGTTAGTAAGTCTTTCAATCGTTCTTGCGACATAGTTGATCGAATCAAGTTTTCACTCTCTTAAGTTCTGAGAATGACCACTCAGCAGTGGCAGAACTGATAAGATTGCAACCGCAATCACGTACACTTTACAAAGTGTGGGCAGGGTTCGTACACCTTCTCCCATTTAAAAATCCATGACTTTTCCATGACCACTTTTTTCAAAATCCATGACCTGGAAGTCTGGAATGTCTGAAATTCGTTAATATTTTAACGATAACAGATATAATAAAAGAACAAAATTCACTTCGCTCTTGCAAAAATCCATTATATAACAACAATTCATATTATTGTTATGACTGGTAAATTGAAATAAGTAAAATACTTTGTTAATGTTTTGTAAAATTTCAATTTTCCATGACTTTCCATGACTAAAATTGATTTTCCAGGATTTCCAGGTCTGGATTTTGGAATATTGAAATTCCATGACTTTCCAGGTTTTCCCATACCCGTACGAACCCTGTGTGGGATATGCATCGCCCAGGTGGTAATGAGGATGCGACAGGTGTCTTCGTCTGATTCTTCATCATGATCTGAATCATCATGATTGTTCTCATCATAATATTCTTCTTCAGAATCAGAAACATCTACATTGTGAAAATCTTCCTTTCTTTCTTTGGGAAAAATGAAAAGGAAGCAGTTGAACTTCGAGAATGAAGGTGCAAAGGTGAACAGCTCTTCGGCGCAGCGGGATGGGTCGATGCAAAATCTTTTTCACACGTCTTAGGAGGTGTGACTTGTCAAACAGCTGTCAAAACGCGGTTGAAACAAGTCAGCCTCGTACCCAGGTGCAATATGTGGCTTGTGTGGTCTTTTTGCGTGGGCCGAATAGATATATATTTGATTCTCCAACGTGTGTCATCCCGCGTGTGTGTCACACGGCGGCGTAGCACATTACAAGGCACCTGGGTACGAGGCAGGAAACAAGTAACGCTTAACGGTGGCTTGCAAATGGTAGTGAAGTATAAACGATGAGTCAACAACAATGTATCAAACAATTTCATTATTCCATCTCTTTTTTCTCATAATGGGCAATCAGATCTGAAAAATTATAATTCGGACTGGCACTTTTGTGTGTGCTTTCGGTGATTTTGTGCAATTTCGGTGCCCCATGCATTTAATCTCGCATGTGATTGGCCATTTGTAAACATAGGCCTAGCTGCTGTGGCATACATGCATCTACTGAATAGTAGCACCAGGAAATAAAAGGCATTGAGCAGATAAAAACATAGGTGTGCACTCTGAGTGATCTTTGGAATCAATTTCTGGCATTTCCAGAGTCATAGCACAAATGTCACATTTCCGGTTGGCTCACAGTCGGGCCAGAAATGGAAATTATACCGTGATAAAAGGTGCAAATTTGAAGATGCAAGCTCAAAAATAACACTCTACACAGTGCTATTGATATGTCCAAAGGGGCCGAAGTTATGTTCGGCGAAAAGTATGGCTGGTTTATATTTTTGTTCAGACAATTATTATAGCTACAATTAGCTTACAGTAATATTTATTTCCCAAACCGGTAGGACATATTTTTACAAATGGCCAATCACATGCAAGATTCAAATTCTGAACCTAATCAAGTGTGGAAGTGGGATTTGCAACCGATGTGACCAGAGGCTCTTCCTTCTCGCCTCTTTCGCCTCGCAAAGAGCCTCTGGAACCAGGTACAAGCTTGGTAAAAGCTAGTGCAAACAAAAGTTTTTATAGTTAACTATAGTCACTATATAGCCAGCAGTTTACTAAATAGTCGGCTGAATAGACACTTTGTATTTAATAAAATGCAACAGGTATATTACAGTGTATTTACTTCTCGAACGGTAATAAGAAAGCTGCAGATTTTTCCCTGACTGGAAAGTTTGGAATTTGCGCACCCAACGAGGAGCCTTCGCTCGACACGTCGAAGTTCTGCTTGTATTTTTTACAACCTCAACGTTTCGGGGGGAGTTCGTATAATAAAAGTTCTAATTGTATTTTTCTGACAGGTAATTGTACGACCCTATTTATAATCCTCAGTTTTCATATTCACTTACCAAAATTGAGCCCTCTTGATGTTAACAAAGTTCGAACCCCAGGACGGCTAACACTGGACGACGTTAAGAATATAAAACAGTTAAAGAAACAGAATATCCATGAAATCCGAATCGAAGACATCCTCACTGAAAAGACTACGGCGGCGCCTTAGAACTACGGCCCTACGGCCCTAGGTAGGTAAAATGGAAAATGAAATAGGTGGGCTTTCCAGCAACCCCAAGAGACTTTATAAACACAAAAGCAGATATAGGCCAATAATGAGATTCTTTTGTGCAAATGTCCTGCATGTGCACTGAACTGTAGCATGATGAAGCCATTACACAAATAATAATTTCACCCTCTAATGACCACTGAAGTGACTGAGTTTGTTGATATAAATGATGACACCTCATTGAGCCCACGAATCAAGAGCGAGTGTTGCCAGTGGTGTTCCCATGGTCATGCGCACTTGTATTGTTGATGTTCTCCAGGGAAACTTGAAACATTTTACACTGGCATTTTATATAAATCTGGTATTCTTTGCAAGTTTTTAGAAATAATGTTAGAAAATAATATCTAATTGTTTTGGTAGTGTCAAACATAGATTGTTTATAACCATGCCTGAAAGTACTGCAGCCGTAAGTAGAAAATTTGTTGTATAATTTGTTGTATATTGCTTCGTATATAATCGACCGTACAAAATATAAAGTTTCATACGTATGACATTTTATGTTTTGTTGTGTTGTCTCATTAACATTTTAACGTTGTTTGATAGATATGGTTTAGTCATGCATGTATACAATTTATCATATCCTCAAGCCAATTAGCCAACAGTGTGAGCAAACAAATTCGCCTAGTGGAAGATGTTCATGATGGCCGGCTACCCTGAGTCACAGAATTGGGTACACAGAAGGCCGACTTCTTGGTTTTTCCTATGTTTTCCTATGATTTTGGCGTAACCCGTAATTCGTCATCAAATGCTGACGCCATGGTCCTAGCCAGTGCGCGTTTGAGAGGCATTCACCCCCTGATAATATTCAAAATGGGCAGATATCCAGGGGGGGAATGCCTCTCAAACACACACTGGCTAGGACCATTGCGTCAACATTTTGATGATGAATCATGGCGTGGCAGCAGTTACGCGAGTCGACCTTCTGTGTGCCTTATTCTGTGCCTTAGTGCCAGAAGTTTTTCTACGTTCGTAGGGGGATAATGAGGGATACACGAGCGTGGAAGAACCTCTGGCACACAGGGTAATGGCCAGCTTAAGTGATGCAAAGCTCAGTCACAGAGTAATGCATGAGTCAATTCCAGGAGTAACCATCCCCCCCCCCCCTGGAATTGACTCCAGGAATTGACTCATGCATAAATACCATACAGAGGTCTCACTTCTTATTTTAATATTTCAGCGTGAGGGATTTTCCAGTCCGCCATGTTCTTAGCAAGTATCCTTAAGAGAGGCTATCACCTCCTGAAAACATATTGAAATTTAATGTACCAGGGGGGTGAATGCAGGTCTTTAGGGCACTTGCTAAGAACATGGCTGCTAGATATTGATCGTATTAGATGTTGCAGAGTGTCTGGCTGTGGTAGAAATCGGTCTCCAAAATTTTTAATCGGTCTCACTTAGCATTGCGTATATATTTATCCACTGACACATGCTGTATTAATTTTGAAACCAACTAAGACTATCTTTTCGAATATATACCCAAATCGAATCAAAGGCATAAAAAACAGTTTGAAAAACCCTTATTAACCTTTTTTGAATGTTTTCAGAATGAGAATGATAATGTGCGGGTAGTTGTACGATGTCGTCCATTAAGTAAAAAAGAACAAACAAGTGGATGTAAGGCAGTTGTGAATGTGGATGAAAGAACTGGAACACTCAGTATAAAGAATGAAGGTGGAAGACCAGGGGAACCCAATAAAAAAGACTTTTCATTTGATAGAGTATTTGCACCTGGGTGTAAACAAGTTGATATTTATAATGATGCTGCCAGACCCATTGTTGAAAGTGTTCTTGAAGGATATAATGGTGAGAGTTTTACTGTCATGGTAATATAGCACTGACATGAGTTAACACTAATAATATTTTTTATATAATAATGTTAAGAATTTCATTGGTCGAGACTCAAGAGCCATGATTTATTGGAGAACAGATGCACAGAATTATGTCACACAAAACCTTATCCAGCATTCCCTTATTTGTATAGATCATGTACGCATGATATGTGTTTACTCCGGGCTCTCCGGTTTCCTCCCACAAGGAAAGTTGACAGGGGTGGGTTAAGATAAACATTAGTGAAGAAAGTAATATCACAAATAGTGTGGGCAAAGCTAGTCCACAACTAAAAACGATCAAGTTTTTGCAATATAATTGAACAATACTGTGCTGCCCACATTGCTCACAGTTGTCAACAATATTGAACAATATTGTTACACGTACCGATTCAGACTCAACAATATTGTTTATTGTGAACGACATGGGCAGCACAACAGTGTTCAATCGGACAACCCTGTTAAACAGCAGGCTCATAATTTTTGTGCATATACACGTAGGTACAGTACACACGTAAAAACGCTCAGGTTGATGCAATACTGATGAAAACAGGATTGAACATTTATCAATGTTTTGCTGCCCACATTGTTCATAGCTGTCAACAATATTGAACAATATTGTTACACCCAATTCAGGCTCAACAACATTGTTCAATATTTTTGTCAGCTATGAACAACGTGGGCAGCAAAACATTGTTCAGTCCTGTTGAGCAACGGGCTCAGCATTTTTTGCCGTGTAATATAAGTAAGTGTAATATTACTTGATGTAATCAGTCACTGAAATGCTCCGGTGGGTGTGAACTGAATATAATAATGTATGTACTATGTAATGTAATACATAACTTTTAAGACTATATATTTCCAATCTATAAATTTGATTCATCTTCAGCAGCACCCAATCTACAATCGGAAAATATAATTCCATCTTCATCTTTATCTTATACAATCATGAAACCATAGCATGCACAGATCTGTCACAGAAAGAAATAACTATAAGATACAGTAACTTGGATCTTGACTCACATAAAAAAATGACCTGTTCAGTCATGGTAACAGTTCAGTATGGCCATTAATTGTGTTTTTATTATCTCATCTGTATTACATAATTTATCATCTTCTCACAGGAACAATATTTGCATATGGCCAAACTGGTACAGGCAAAACATTTACTATGGAAGGTGTACGCTCTGCACCAGAACTACGAGGAATCACACCTAACTCCTTCGCACACATATTTGGACATATTGCCAAAATGGCTGGTGATGTCAGGTAAATTTTCAGTGTACTCTATCAGATATTAAATAGAGATATTCCCAAATTTAAGATTTGGAAGAATGTTGCTATATAATAATATAACTGAAGTTTACATTCCACTTAAAGCTATATTATTTCCCATTGGAGACAGGGGTGTATGTAGTTACCAGAGGCTGGTGGTTCGAAAGTCAGTTACATAGCTTAATCCTATGTTAACGGAAATATCAAAGCACAATACTCAATTATAACAGCTTGTTTATAAACAATGGACCAAAGTATTTTCCCACAATTCTTGTCTGAATTAGTAAAAGTTTTATTTTCCAAACAGCAGTGCAGATGCATCCAAACCAAAACTGCAGGTTAAATTTTAACCCAGGGGTAGCACAACCTGCTCCAGTAGGGTTACACTCCCTATGAGTGTTCTAAAGAAAAAGTTGATAATTGGAAACTGATCAGGAGTAATAAATGCTCAGGTTTTAAATCCTTTCTGATCAGTGGCAAGTCCTATTAAGCTGCCAATAGTTTAGTCATCCTATTTTTTGCATTCAGGAGAGATAATAATAATATAATAATAATAATAATAATAATAATAAGTGTACAAATTTCTTGGTTGTGAACAAGGTGACAAAATTGATGTTAAAAGGGTAATGCAAAGGGTGAAAAAGGAGATAGCGAAAAGATTGAAACAGCTGGTGGGAATGAATTTGACCGATGAATCTTGTGAAGGCGATAAATTGCAGAGTGGCGCCAGTAGCCGGATATATCATGAATGTGTGTAACCTGAGGAAAGGAGATATTGAAGAGCTCGATATGATTGTTAAAACCGCACTCGGGAAAGAAGGATTTCATGGAAAACAAGTGATGAGAGATCTATTGTATACGAAGAGAGAAGATTGAAAGGGATTGAAAAGTTTGAAGGAGGTTTACGATGAGACGAAAGTAAGGGTAGCATGTTACATGTATATGGCAACATCGAGATCGGAAACGAAGGCTATGTGGATTGGAAGGCTACATGGAGAAAGCTTAAGAACATTATTGAAGAAGGGCAACGCAGGAACATGAGAGAAAGCTTTAGAGAAACGAAATTGCAAAGTGAAATACCAGCGGGATTTGAAAAAGAAGATCATGGTTGATTGAAGTGCAACACCGATCCAAGAAAGACAGCATCGATCTTCTCACTGCAGGAACAGATGATTGAAACGAAAGCGTGGAAGAAAATGAGAGGATTAGTGGATCAGGACAAGTGTCGATTGTGTGGGTAATCTAGAGACTGAGACAGTTCAACACCTACTGGCAGGATGCAAGAAGATAGCGGGATCGGAGTATGTAAGAAGACATGACAACGCGTTGAAAGTATTGGCGGTGCAATGCGCGATTGATAACGGATTGTTACCAGAAGGAACGAAGTGGTACACAGAAAGATGGGTGAGAGGAAAAATGATTGAGAACAATGGGAAGAAGCTATTTTGGGATTGGGAACATAGAATGAGGACGAGTTGCACGGCCAAGAGACGCCATCTGACATTTGAGGAGAGCGAAAAGAAAGAGATTACCCTAATAGATCTGACGTGCCCGAATGAGTCGAACAAAAACGTGACACAAGAGGAGAAGATAAGAAAGTACCAACAGCTGTGTTTTGAACTGCGGGAAAGACGGGAAGGGCACAGAGTGAAAGTCATACAATCAGTGATTGGCTGCTTAGGAGGAGAGATGAAAATATTGAAAAATGATATAAGAGAACTGTTTTAACAATGAGAAAGATTTAAATTGCATAAATAGAGAAATGCAAAAGACAATATTTTAGGAAAGCGAGACAATTATGAGAAAAATATTATCTGGACTGTTAACATGAGTTGTCTTCTGATAATAGAAACATTGACAGTTAATGCTCTTCCCTTATGGAAGGGCACTGGCTAACATGCTTTGGATTAATATAATTAGGGTTTTATGAATTGTATAGTATTTACTAGAGGCATCATTGTATTGTTGGTTAATTCGAAAATAATAATAATAATAATTTAATGACAGTATTTCCACAAGGTGACTCTTCACCTAGAGGATATTACACGGCGGCGAAAACAATATTTTGAGTGGTGAAAACAATATTTTACGAACGAGCGCAGTGAGTGCATGAGTAAAATATTGTTTTTAACACGAAAAGATAAAAAGTGTTGATTGAAATCCTTGCATTCAGTTTTAATATTCACAGGAGAGTATTAAAAAGGGCGGCAGCTGAGTCCTGAAAGGTCCCCTTTTCTAATGGAACAGTAAGTCTCATATGAGCACTAGAACGGAGGTTGCGGCAATTATTTACAACTTGTAAGTTTAGGTAGGATGGCCACAGGTTATAATTCATAGCTTTGAAAACACACCAAGTAGGGAGAAGTATCTTACAGGGAGAACAACAAAAGTTGCGCAGTTGGAAAAAATTTCAACCTGTAGTTTCATTTCCCTTATCATCTCCTCGTTTAAGGTGACTTTCGGCCTCAAATCTCACCATTTCCACCCCCAGAGGGAAAGGGGGGGGGAATGGTAATTTTATGCATTCCTCGTTGGAGAAGATACTGTACACAGCATACTGATACACATCTTATTAGATGACGAAAACTCAGGGAAAATCGTGGACAATTCCTAAAAAAAACTCTGTTGTTTAGCCCATTGAGTCGCACTGCGCCTTGATGCGCCCTACTTTATTACTTTACTCTGTCTAAAGCCCGTTCTCCACTAGGCGAATTTGTTCGCGCGAACAGTAAAAAAGTAGGAATTGATCCAACTTTTTCGCGGCGAATTTTTTCGCTGACCAATCACATTGCCAAGATTTGTCTTTCGCTTCGCGTCGCGCGAAAAAATTCGCCTAGTGGAGAACGGACGATTTTACTCGTCAAGGGGAGAGCGCTGGCGCTTAATGGGTTAACTCCTCGTATAATAATGTACGAAAGCCTATTAAAACTAAAAACGTAAACGCCCATAACGATCAGCCGCGCGTATTTTATTTCTGCCCATTTCATTTTCCTGCTCTTGACGTACTTTTTCTTAATTTTGTCCTGCAATTTCTGTTAAAGGTTTCTTGTACGAGTTTCATACTTAGAAATTTATAATGAAAGCGTACGTGATTTGCTTGGAAAAGATCAAAATGCACAGCTAGAGGTAATGAAATGAAATTATATCTTAGGCGATTTGTTTCTTAAACCATGCCTGTAGAAAAACATCCGAGGTGTGCTGAGCCAAAACGAAAATTGTCTTGCCCAACCTGAAAGTTCGTCTTGACAGTAGTTATAAGATTTTGAATAAGAATAATTTGAAGACGAAATTAATTCTGGTTTTTACAGGCATTTCTTAAACTATCATGAAAATCATATTTTTGTCAAAATTTCAAAGGTTAAAGAAAGGCCAGACATTGGAGTGTATGTGAAAGATTTGTCTGCTTATGTTGTTAATAATGCAGATGATATGGATAAGACGATGACACTAGGAAATAAAAATCGTAAGTAATTATTGTTTAAAGGAATTGCATGCACTATACTGTAGTTAATATAGTTGGGTTCAAAGACACTCTGGTTAAACATTTTCTGGTTAAATTTAATTAACACTGTTTGGGTTCCGGAGTGGTTAAATTTCCTGGTTAATGCTCCACGCATGCTAGTCGTGGGTTTTCTCCGGGTACTCCGATTTCCTCCCACAAGAAACTAACTGATTCTTATTGACCCTTCCATACACCGTCGATGTGCTCCGGTTTCCTCCCACAGCGGGAAACTAACTGACTCTTATTGACCCTTCCATGCACCGTCGATGTGCTTCGGTTTCCTCCCACAGCGGGAAACTAACTGACTCTTATTGACCCTTCCATGCACCGTCGATGTGCTCCGGTTTCCTCCCACAGCGGGAAACTAACTGACTCTTATTGACCCTTCCATGCACCGTCGATGTGCTCCGGTTTCCTCCCACAGCGGGAAACTAATTCCCCCTAACTCACCCACCGTGACTGTGCTCCGTGATCAGACATGAGACTCATGTCATGAGTCATAAGGTGGCTGCCTGAGGCGCCCTTAAGGCCATATTACACGGTGCAATTTTTCTTGCAACTTGCAATGCAATTCTACTCTTGAGAGGTGTTAATTAGTGAAATCAGTGAAGAATTTTCGATATGTTGAGAAAACATCAGCGGAGTGTAATGAAGACTCGTATTTGGCAATTTTAAATCTCTCAAGAGTAGAATTGCATTGCAAGTTGCAAGAAAAATTGCACCGTGTAACATGGCCTTTAGTAAGTCTTCGATTGGATCATGCAGGTTGAGCTGCGCCCTTCGCAATTCAGCTTAGCTCTCAGCCACAAGGATGATTACCACATCCCATCACTCACTCACTCACTCACTCACTCACTACTAAATTAACCAGGGAATTCTGGTTAAACTAGCCACGATAGTGATCAAATTAACCAGGACTGTGGTTAAATTAACCTGGAAATTTAACCAGAAACATATTAAGTTATCCCAAACAGTGTTCATTTTAGAATAATTAAGGAAACTAAGCACGGTTTTGTCATACAGATCTATATAGCAGACGTTCATGAAATTAGTTGTGTTACAATGATCTGTTACGTGCATGCAAGAATTCATATAGTATATTTTACATTTCTATGGCCAGCAAAAACCCCTGTTTTTGCATTTTCCAAGGTTCTGTTGGTGCTACAAACATGAATGAACATTCTTCGCGCTCACATGCAATATTTACAATCACAATTGAGCGAAGTGAGAAAGGAGCAGATGGCCAACAACATGTTCGTATGGGAAAACTTCATATGGTTGATTTGGCTGTAAGTTTAAGGCACTTTTATTCCGTGTTTTTGTATCCGCCTTATCGAGTTATTTAATTATACCGGGTGTCCCAAAAAAAACTGGACACTGTTTGATTACATGTAACGTAAAAGTTATAAAAGCTATCGCTATGAAATAAAAATCATTGCATTTAGAATTAGGACTAACTTAGAATTTGATATATAGCACTTGAATTTACATGCAATATTGAGCGAGATACAACTAAAATAAAAATATTTATTATTTAACAAGTACTATAACTACATTGATAATTATAAGGTTGTTTTATGCTAATTTTTGGCATTTTGAAAATCAGTGTAGTTCAACGTTCAAACACCAATAGCGCAGTCAATATTGCATGTAAATTCAAGTGCTATGTATCAAAATCTAAGTTGGTCCTTTCTGAATGCCGAATGACCTTTATTTCATTGCGATAGATTTTACGTTCCATTTTTTTTTGGACACCTGGTATATACGGACGGGACGTCTAAGATCAGTATCAGTGTGCTATCGCAGATTAATAATTCTTCAAGCTTATTCTTCTGAAAATGTCCACGATGAGTCCAACATAAATTTCGGAACAACATACAGTAATAGATATTGACAAAGCAGTAATTTAATTAATTTTAATTAAATCAATTTATTGGACAATCAACTACAATGTCCAAGCGGTAAGATTGCGAACGGGGCTGAAAGTCCCATGCGAGGCACTCCCCCGTTTGAAACTATAAACCTACTAAAATATATTACAGTACTTAAATATTGACATGAATAATAACCGTAAAGAAACATGCCAATACACCCTTCCGGAAAGTACGTCATCTTGGCTATAGAGCCTCGTTTTTGTGTACGCGACATTAGTTAAAGTATAACGTGCCAATCTCGAAAACGAGGCTCTA